ATCAAGATATTAAGAACATGCTTGTCAGTTATAAAATGCATAAAGAAAGGCCTATTGAGATTTTTGCACTGCTGAAAAATGATATTTTTATGAGTACTTCTCTTGGAGAAAATAGTTCTAGGGGTAATGAGTCTGAAAAGGTGATGGAAGCAAAAGAACATGAATCAACAAATTCAACATGTAATCATTATTTTTATTGATCTTAATCACATATATCGATATTTTTACTTGACGTTATTTATTTAATCTTCTAGGTTCCAACGCTGTGAAAAGAAAAACTAGAGGTCCTACACGGTGTGTAGAAATAATTAATTTACAAGAGGGACAAAAACTATCAGTAGAATTTGATGAGGATCATCAAGCAATTGGTAAGAATGCAAGCTAATTAATTTGGTTTTTGGGCCAAACAGTTAGAAGCCGAACTTGTTGCCCTTTAAAGGTAAATAGTTGGAAAGAGATTGAGCAAGATAAGATCAACCATATGTGGGACATCGTTTTGGTACGAAAAACTAACAAGCTAATAACTCTATAATATTTTATAATTTCTTATGGATTAACATTTACTAGAATATATGATCATAAACTATGATGGTATTTATTTCTTACAGGAGAAGTTTAATTTTGATGTGTCTGAGGGAAGAAAAAGCGCAATTCTTGGTAAAATGAGTGACCTCTATAGAGACTATAGGTACAAGTTGAAGAAGAAGTATTTTGATTCAAAAGCAGGTTACCAACTTCGCCTACGCAACAAGCCTAAACTTGTTGCCGCAGATGAATGGAAATATTTGGTCAATCTTTGGAGTGATGCCGACTTTCAGGTATTTAAATTGTAAATTAAATTTTTTATGCTTTTATTATTATTATTATTATAGTTTCATAGTTTGATGATCTCAAATAATTTATATAATTCTTCAGTCCGTCTCAAATTTTCTTTTTATTCACTTTCGGACGAATATCATTTTGATATCCATTTTGAAAATACGAGAACTTCTTCTTCTTTTTTCAGATTGAAGGGCATATTAAGCTCTCTTTCCTCAATAACTAATTATTTTAATTCTTTTTTAATTTTTATTCAGAAGAAGAGTACGCAGAACAAGGCAAATAGATCAAAACGTTCCTTGCCACCATATATTGTGACCAAAAGTTATGCAAGACTAAGATACGAAATGGTATGAACACTATAATAATATTTTTAGAACGAATTTAGAAGAATTATATTCATATATTTTATTCTATTATTGATACCGATTATTTTTTTGCAGGAGCAAAAAAATGGAAAACCTCCTTCCCGTGTTGAAGTTTTTATGGAATCTCGCAAGAGAAAAAAAGGAAAACAAGTTGATGCTTTTCAACAAGATGTTATTGTAATGTTGATATATTCTCTTTTCTTTTTATCTCCTTTTTAAAGTATACATTGGTACACATATGTAATTGATTTGCATTATTTGATTGTAGGTTCAATTCGACCAATTTAAAAAGCAGCAAAAAGAAGGAGAAATTTCTTTAAATGATGATGATATCTTCGAAAAAGTTCTTGGGGCTGAAAAAAATGGATATCTTCGTGCATATGGACCCGGAAAAAATATCAGTGAATATTTTGGTGGTAGACCAACAAAAGTACAGCTTATAAAGCAACTAGAATTGACCAGAAAAGAAGCAAATGAGCGTGTGGAAGAAGTTAAAAGGGAAGCTAAGGAACAAATTAAAGAAATCAAGAAAGATATGAATGAACAACTAGCACAGATGAGTACACAATGGGAAGAAAAATTACGAATGATACTTGCAGCACAAGGTCTACAACAAAATGATGCAATCTAACGGTATGTAACTTAGACTTTTATTAATATCTTTTTATATTAATAAATTAGTATATATGCGATTCTTTAAGGTAGTATTCATATTAAAAATAAAATTTAATTGTTTTATATAAAAATGCTTCATTGTATCATTTAGTTATTTACTTTTTTTCTATTGTTATTGCAGCTTGTGGAGGACTTATAAAAGCATCAAGGTCACCAAGCACATGAATAATGTTTTTCCTCTTGTCAAAGCTTATTGATATGTTTCAAACGATGTTTTAATATTTGAATTGATATTGTTGAACCTTTGTTAAATCTTTTTACTAATAAATTGCATTTATTACGTAATTGAAGAAGATTTATGCTACATTTGCCTATATGTTTCATTGCCAAAATTTGATTGTATTCCTAAATAGGCTTTATATGAAATATTGTGGCTAATAATGGTTGTGGAAATTTTTTTAATTAGTAGCAATGAAATTTATAAATTTGTAGCTACACACACACATATATTTCTATATAATAAGAACATGGCTATACATTTTTTCATAGCAAATGAAGAAAATTTATTGCTACAATTTTATGCTTCATGGCAAAAGAAAATGGAATCTTAGCTATGGAATTTTGAATTCGTAGCTAAACATATACTCCTACAATTGCCACACATCAAGAACATGACTATTTATTTTTACTTTCCGTAGCAAATGAATAAAATCTTTTACTATAGTTCTATATATTTCATGGCTAAAAGTATGGAATTTTAGCTACAATATGAAAAGGTTTATGGCAAATGCTTCAATTCATAGCTAGGAATTTTTAAGTTGTAGCTAAAGATGAGTACTATTGCCACGAGACTAGGCTATAGAAATAGCCACAAAATTTGAGTTTGCATAGCAAATAAATTTAGTCTTTTTGCTACGATACAAAATTTCGTAGCTACAATATGAAGATTGCTACAAATTTTCTTTGTCGTGGCAAAGGAATAAAATCATTTGCTATAAGTATATTTTTCGTAGCAAAAAGCTTCTACAATCATAGCTACAACACACAAAATTTCTGTAGCAATAAGTATTATTCCTTAGCCACAGACCATGTAAAGTCTGTAGCTAACTTTTAGCTACGCTACATTTTACTACGAATGCTACGGAAAAATATATTGTGGCTAAAGTGTTTTGCCACGAAAATTTTCATATTTAGCTACAATATTTTTCATAGCTATAGATGTGTAATGTTGTAGTGAAACACAAAAAATAAAGGATAGAAATTAAAAAAAGAAGAATGAAAGAAGAAGTAAGACAACAACAACGGCCCAGTATAATCCCACAAGTGGGGTTTGGGAAGGCTAATATGTACGCAGACCTTACCCCTACCCTGAGGAGCAGAGAGGTTGTTTCCAGGAGACCCTCGGCTCAAAAAAGCAACAAGAGACGATATATTAGTACTATTAATAGACTCATAATAAAATAACATAACATAGCACAAAATAACATAAAATAATAAAATAACAGCAATATAAGAAATATAGGAAATACGAGAAAGATGGAAGGTATAATAATATCCAGCAGATAAAGCCTGCATCAGTAGCTGACCAGTAGCATCCTAAGACTAACTCCTAACTGGCTAGTCTCACTCTAGTGCGCTGTAGAAATATTCACAACTTCCCCCTACCGTATAACCTTAATGCTCGACCTCCACAACTCCCTGTCAAGGGCCATGTCCTCAGTAATCCTAAGTCGCGTCATGTCTTGCCTGATCACATCTCCCTAATACTTCTTAGGTCTCCCTCTACCTCTCCTCATGCCCACCACAATCAGTCGCTCACACCTCCTCACCGGTGCATCAATGCTCCTCCTCTGAATGAAGAGCTCACCAAAAGGGGAGAAAGAGCAAGCAAAACTATAGAAAATAGGGGAGAGAAATTAGCAAGGCAAATGATAAGTTGCTTAGATCCATGCTATTTACTATTTAGGCGAAATACATAAACAACCCCTCCAAGTTGTCCACAACGGTCATTTGAACACCTTAACTTGTTATGTGACCATATAGACACCTNGATAGACACCTATATATTCTCTTAAACCCCTTACGCTGACATAGAAAATTTTGTGTGTTACACTTACATCTAAGCGCATGAAATTTTTTAAAATTAGGCTTATCTTTTTTGGGGGGTTTGGATAAAAAACAACAACTGAATTGGGATTTGAATTTTCATTCAACCTCTGCAAGATG